TATATGGTGCTGTACAAAAGTGTTGAGCAAGGCTTTCTTGTCATTTTGGAGGAATGGGACTAGGAATGAGTATAATCAGAGGGCAGCTCAGGTTAGTGGCTGTCAAGGAGTCGTTGATAAGGAAGAGAAGCAGGGAGAAAATGCTGCGGTATGCTCAGTTACACAAAAACTGGCCTGAAAATGATTTCTATTATTCTATTATTCAGTGATGAATCCCAATTTGAAATTTCTGGTTTGAATCATACTATGGAAGAGGGCAGATGCTCATTGTTTTTATTTTCCACTATACTACATCACTGTTTCACTTAAATCTCATAAGCTTTGTTTCCAGCTGTTTCCAGTAAAAGCTTTACTGCTACCTGCTTAAAACTAATGACAGAAAACGGCAGGTGATACCACATAAAACAGTGCAAGCATTTATCCTAAGCATACTAAAATGGCGTTATAAGAAATTCAAATGACTAGACATGGGAGGTGAAATCATACATTTCAACAACTACCAAAAAAAAAAAAGTCTCCTCTCATTTGAATTCTTGCAATCCGTCCTTCAAGGCCATTTCCTTGTGCATCTTGGACATGCTTTTCTGCTTTTCAATGCTTCCATCACAGTAATAGCATCTGCTTAAAGTCAAAATGCTCTCTCATCTTCTTTCTCTTTCCTCTTAGACAACCGTTGTCTTCTATTTACTATCCAGTCTCCCTTCAGCCTCGTCATTATCGTCATTATCTGTAATCTTACTCTGTCAATACCTCCGTAGCTTTATCTTTTTATATCATTACTGTAAAAAAGACAAGAACCTGACGTTACCTTCCTTCTTCCCCCCATCTGCTTCACTTTAAAGAAAAGACATGGTCGAAGATTTCTCAACTCCCGTCACACCTTCCACCCCTCCAGCACCACCATTCACCCAGATCTGGTTCTTAACTCAGCTTTTTAACCCACTACAATGGGTTGCTTCTCCCCTTCCACCACCACCTCCTTCTCCAATACTCGTCTCAATTCCCTACCAAGTAGGGGTTCGATCTGTAAGTGTTGTATCACTGCAGAGAAGAGCCTCACTTTCTGTCTTCAATCTCTACACTGTGGTTGAAGCTCCGTCTGGAGTAAAGACTCGCTGCGCTCTCAATTTGCCCTTCCCCACCTCTGTTCCCCATTCTCTCGCGCCTCTCTCTGTTTTCCAAATTGTTTGTTTCAAAAAGTCTGGCCCTTTGCAGTGAAAACTTCTCAGCCTGTAGCCATCTATACTCTCGCAATTCTCAACTCCATCTCTCAATTACTTGACTTCCACTGTTAAGCGTGTATTACTGCATATGGGAGGCTTTCTAGCACTCTCGTCTGGCTCGTTTGTAATTCCCCAACTATCCTATCACTCCTTCCATCTGTACCACTCTCTCCTTTTTTCACTCCCAAGTGCCAAGCCTGCTCTGTGATGCTGGACTACAGAAAATGGACAAACTACAAGAAAGTTTCAGAGATTTTTTTTTAAAATGTATTTGTCTTTAACCACCACTTTGGCAGTATTTTTTGTCATAATGTCAAATAAAGAAAAAGCAATTTTTTTTCTCACAATCATAGCCTATTAATGTCACTCCAACTAGCTGCTGGGCATGCTCCTTTTCACTCCTCATGATGTTTTGAGCCATGGGTTTGAGCACAGTCAACAGGCATGATTAGAGCCAAAAATCCATATTTAATGTCAGTCCTTATTTACAGTGTCATTTTTTTAACCCCACCAGCAGCACCTCTTTTTTTTTCCCTTTTCAAATGTGAGGTCTGTTGTGTGATATTTTTTTTTTTGACCACTGTATCATTGAGTGGGAAGTCTCTCTTTTCAAAATGTCAATAAAAGCCAGCCTGGCACAAAAGCTAGTTCGCCCATCAAGTTGCACAAAATGGGTTATTAAAAAACTGTGACAGATTTTCTTAAAAACAGTTTGAATTTTTCGCTAAGATGCACTTTAGCCCCCCAGAAGTTTGTTTATGTCGTCAGTTTTCATTTGTTGCACTAACTGAGCGCTTTTGGCACTGTGCAATATTAGAAAAATATGTTGCTTGCCATCTCGGTCTCCTAATGTCGTTGAGGCTTTTCTCGAACAAAGCACTTGACCCTGTTTATACGAAGTAATTATGGTGCCTCATTCAACAACATTGCAGCAGGAGACATCTTTATTGCACACCCATCCTCCAAAAATTCCATTCAAACAGAATTAATATTCTTCAGAAAATATATTGGAAGCATATACCTTTAAAAAAATCTAAATAGACTCTATTTACATCTAGTTATGATACTTCATGCATCCTTGATACATGAGATAGTGTGCAATATGCAAATGCATCCAAGACATATTCAAGAGGGAGTGAAATCCTATTGTTTAATTCACTTTTAGGGGTCATTTTAGTGAAGCAAGCTGCTGAAAAATCATAAGTGCAGCCATCTGTCCAAGGCATATCCATAATTTTTACGCCTTCCAATTGTTACTATAGCTGGGGTGTTTTTTTTTTCAACATGCTAGGTTGTGACTTTGCCTGCAGTTGTCTTTTCTCAAATGTACAGCAGCCAGTCAGTTTCACAGCCATCCTCACTCTCTCTCCATCCGTTTGCTTTAGGTGAGGGAGCTGCCTGAGTAGAGCGAGCCGGAGGCAGGACACATGACGCCCACTCATTTGCTGTGAATTCACCAGAGAATTAACTGTGCTATTCTCACATGAGCACAATCAGACATCACATTGTACTACAGAGTGGGAAGGTTAAAGACCGTTTAATGTCTGTTCTCACGTACATCTCTGATGGGTAATACAGAGAAAAGTGCAGAACTGAACTTCTTGACATCACTCTGTGTTAGAAAGCATCATTAAAGTAGCCTTTACATGGGTTCCCTTGCAATAACACACATCACAGCTAAAGTGAAAATAGCCATTGTTTTTCCAAGTTTTTTGATCCTTTAACAGTTCAGGGGCTTAATGATCTGTGTGTGCGTGTGCGTGAGACAACTTGTGTATGTGTGTCTTCGTCTTTAAGCATTTACTTTGCTTGAGGGACAGAATGAGTAGCGCGAGGAAAAGCTGGAGCCACGATGACTACTCAAGCTCAAAACTAGTAATCTAAGCCTTGGAGCAACGTGGCGGATGACACTACTTCACCATTTATATCCTTATAGTTCACAAATACAATTCATTTGTGACACTAGCAGTTTGTGAGCAGTTGTTAGCTGTTAATTCTGTTTGCTTGTCTGCTATAGCGACAATCAGAAAGTGCACAAATTCTTCTTTTTTCCTTTTCTCAATTACACCTACTTGTGACACAAACAGGGGTGCACTGAGCTTTTAAACCCCATCCATTCATTTTCTTATCTCCTTATCCAGGTTTGGATAAGAAGCTAAGGATCCTCCTGTGGGGAGCTGGAGCCTATCCCAGCTGTCATTGGGTTAAAGGCAGGGTACAGCCAGGACATGAGCTTTAAAATGCTTCACCAAACTGTGACTTTTGTTTTAGGGTTGTGGTCTCACACTAAAACAAAATTTATGTCATAGCTGTGTAAGCCCTGTGCATTCCATCAGTCCCCATAACAACATCATGAAATAGGAATGGACTGGGGTGAGAAGTGGCCTCAAATAGTGTCCTGGATGTCTTACAGGAGTGGTTAATACAAGAAAGAAGTAAAAGAATACATACATATATATATTTAGTTTTATCTAAGGTGTTTTTTCATCTGACCCAGAAGTCTGACTCGATCTCAGTTTTACAGCCTTCTTTCTAACAATGATATTAAAAAATGGAAAACTGATACAGGATGTTGAAAGTTCACGTTTTTTTGTTTTGTTTTGTTTTTTTCAGATTGTACCTAGGAAGGGAACATTTTATGTGTTTTTGTTTTTTATATGTTATTATGCAATGGGTCTTTACTGGGCCAACATAGATATATATATGTGTGGCTGATGTACTAACATCAATTTGACACCCATGATCCCCATATAGTGTCCACTGGGGTAAGTCCAGGTGTCCAACATATGTTATTATCACAATATATTATTGGCAACCCCGTATCACAGAAAAATGTGTAATAGACATGCCGGTCCACCGTGTCCATTCCACACTTTGCTTCTTCTAAGTGTGAAATGGACACGCATGTAGAAGTTGCAGTAAGCTGGAGTACCAGCAGAGGGAGATGTTTTATTTTAAGCCAACAAGAATACGAGCGTTTAAACAGACATTTTTAGCACATTTACATGTATATACATATTAACCACCTAGCTTCATGATTTCTGGTGATTAAGGACCCTGAAACCTACTTCATACCTTCCTTGGTCACTAGCGACTTTTTGGCTTTAAATATATTATCTCCCCTTGCTGTTACGGCAACTTCTGCATGCCAAACGGCGTGTCTATTGCACGCTTTGCCATGATTTCAGGTTTGAATTGCACAAAAAGCTATGGATAAACTAATAGGTTGTTTAGTACTTTTTACATACTAATTTTCTCTAAATAACCATCAGTGCAAAAAATCTGCTGCCTTATGGGAGGGAAAAAAACCCGCTTCTTTTGGCTTCGACAGCTGGACAGGGGATGTTAACAGCCCTCAGCCTGAAAGTCATCTGTCAGGAAAAGCTGGCTAAAGCTAACACGGTGCAAGCTAAAGAGGCACTTAGAAACTAAACATCCTTCTGAGAGAACCTTGGCTTTTTTAAAAAGAGCACTGGATAGAAACCAGAGGCAGCAAGACTTTTATATGAAAGTATCTGAAATTCAGGTGTCAGGCTGAGACCAGATGCTGCAAGTGAGGTGACAAAAATCAAACCAAATAAGAACTGGTGACTATTTTGTGTCACATTTTGAGGATTAAGGTGCGCACTGAAATGTTGGTCTGCCCTTTGGTGTGACTTGAGCACAAGTGGTTTGAAAAGCACTGATCCAAAGCACATTTGGCAAAGTAAATTAGCAGAATTTGTACATATTCTGTAATTAGCTCCTAATGATACTCCATCCCTGACTTCCTCTCACCTCTCTTCTCTCCAAAGTACAGGGTCTGCTGTGCAGTGTTGGACCACTGCAGTGAGGAATTGTCGCTCTCTGCCACCCGACAGGTCAATGTCACCGTACCCCCCACGGGCACCGTCTCATCGGAGGTCATTGGCTGCAAGGGGTCGTCTTCTAGGTAACAGGAGAGAGGGAAGAAAAAAATCACGAGACTGAGTGATATAAATGCATCATAAGTCAGTGAGATGCAGTGCTCATATGAAAACACAGGCAAAAATAGTAGCACACACAAACACACAAATCAGATAAACCCACAAAGTGCATTACCCGCCTCGATCTCACTCTTTCTCTCTATCTCCCCCCGCCCATCTCTTTCTCTGCTTGTCAGATTATCTATATATCTCTATCTGTCTTTCTGAAAGCTCAGACACAATACGCACACACACCGACACACAGACAAGCTGTCAGAGGGACAAAAAAGTAGACAAATGGCTATCTACTTGTATGTCTGCGAGGCCAGTGTAAGAGCAATGAGTCAGTTGCAGCCCTGGCATCCAGGGACCATGCGACCTGAGGGACCAGCAAAGATGAAGCGACTACAGCAGACAGTGGCTCTCGACGGGTCAAAGCAACAACAAGAGCGCTGTCTCATACCTCTAATGGCATTCTAACTCTCCTTTGTCAATATCTGTGTCAGTTTTTAACTCCATGCATATGCATCGGCTGGTCCAGAGGAAGCTCAAACAGGACAGGCATTATGGAAATGAGCAGGTCAGAGGAAAAGGAGAATGAGAATATAAATGACCCGACATAATGAAGGGATTCTAAAGGCTGTAGCTGAAACTGGAACACCGCAAAAATCACTGAAGAGTGAACTGTCTGGGTGTATAACAGTATTCAAATTGGCTCAAATTATGGTATTTAACAGCGCTCCCTTGATAACGGGTGATGAGGCAAGCTAATTCTCCTCTGCATTCAATGAGGGTGACAAATTGTGAATCAGAACCAGAGATCTATACTAAAACATGGAGTCCCTCGTTACGGTAAGTAAAGCCTAACATGGTAGCTGCGGTTTCGTTTGTTTGCCACGTGAAGTTCCACATATCTCGGCCTCGTGTGCACCCTTCGCGCCCTCTCCTCTCCTACTATCTTCCAAATATGCCGGTGCTCACTCATTCAAATCTCAACCAAAAGGAAAATATGACATAATTGACAACAAGACCAAGCCAACGTGGGGGAACTTCTTATAAGAAAATATGCCTCAAAGCGGTCTCCTCACCCCTGAAAATACGGCGCATATAAATAATTTAATTGGAACCAAATTGTCAAGCGGGAGACAGGTTTATATTCGGTGTGGAGCGTTATCGCATCCTTGCACCGGCGGTGGAATGGATTTTTTTTTTTTTCTGCAGGAAGAACATCTGCTTAAGTGCGCTTCAGCGGAACTCCCATCAAGACACGCAAAGGAGGGGCACACAAAGAAAGGTTGCAGAAGAGGAGGAGAGCAAACTAACTGAATGTAGCATCAAAAACACACGTTTGCGGTACATGAGCCAAGAGCACCTGGGAGAAACTATAGGCATCTTTTTTTTTTTTCATTTTAAAACTGGCCAGCAAGTCCAGCATCACAGAAAACATCAGGCAAAAAAAAAAAGGCTTCAGGTTTGCCTCTGGGCTATAAGGTTTCAGAGCGATAATAAAAGGTACAGCTGCTCTTTGCCAGCGGGATTCAAAAGACACTCAGAGACTTCCAGAGCCCTTCATGTCAGGAAGTCGCTCACTTGCTCTCTCTCCTGTTTTACTGCAGCTCTGACCTTGTGGTTAGTTTATCTAAGCACCATGATGGCTGAGGGCTGAATGTGTGGTCAAGTGTACCACGGATTAGTGTCTCCTTTAATAGCATCTTGGGCTAATTCTTGTGGCTGATCGCACAAGCTCCTCCACTTGGCATGAACACTTTGGGTAAATTGGCTGTCCCACTGCACTACCCATCAAGCCAACCGCAATGAACGCTGACAAGTTAGCCAATCTTGCGTTGTCTAGCTGCCACAGAGTGCTGGCATTTTCTGATCAAGGACAACCTGAGTTTGAGGCTCAGTGTGACATTTGTGCTGGTAAAACAATATCAGTAGCCAATTAGTGACTTTTCAGCGAGGAGACATGCTTTTAAAGTGGACATATTTTAAGGATCCTTTACATAATGTTGAATATTTATCACCAGAAAAAACCCAGAAATGTCGCTTTTTATCAGTGGAACACTAAATGCCAGACAAAGCTTTTCCTTTAGTCAAGGTAATATCAACCAGTTAATCATTTCATCAAATTTGTGTGGGAGTAAAGTTTTCAAAGCCATCACGTCACATTTTTTGCATAAATTACACTTTATCTCCCAGATGTTTCTCCAAACTTCAATCTGAAATAAAAACTCAAAAGCGCAACAATTAAATGTCTCAAGGTTTCAAACTAAGCACGCCCCTGTAATAAAGAACGACCCAGAGCCAAGGAGGTTAACTTCCAGAAAGGTAGCGGCCTTTGTTATTATACCTGTTTGTTTGTCTCGTGGTTATTTGTCATATATTGGTCTTTTATTTTCATTTAAAATTATTGATCTGGGGTGCCGGTTTGTTAAAGGTTAGAGAAGTGAAAGGGTCTGAGGAAGATTGCAGATTCGATCCATGGACTGGCATGGTAAATGTGAAAGCTGCACTTGTAGCTCGTTCATTAACACTGCTGGAGTGTCTTGGAGCAAAACATAATTTTCAGCTACTCCAGTACGCCCAATACATCAGGCTCCGGTTGTTGTTAGCTACAAAAACATTGTGTGTAAATTAATGAAAGCTAACAAATAAAGGTTAATCTCACTCTTATGGACCATAAGGCCTAAAATGCTTTAATCATGATTAACAGGCATTCTACATCTTAAATTTAAAGCTCCACTAATGTATACAAATTATTTGAATTGTACAGTATACGAGCATGCTGACGTTTTTAGCACAGTTGGTCAAATATTAATCAAAGAAAAGTTTGGCTTAATTAAGTTGAAGGACCGTGTGTAGAATTTAACTGCAAGAGCATAATTTATCAATCTTTTAGCAATATCTCAAATCGACTTAAACCATTATTATATGGTCAGAGGGGTGCGGTTAGAAGCAGTGGGTATTAAGATGGATGCTAGAGATATTACAGTATTTGAAATGAGTTATTAAAAAGTTTGTGGTTAACATATTGTATGATACAGTCCAGTGTGGCGCACCCAAACCATCTGCTGTTTGAAACTGGTTCATACAAGTGCTAAAGAGTCACTCGCCACTAGAATCTGGCTCCAATAATCCTGGGATTCAGATACGGCTGTGCTTTTTACCTTTGAATCTCCTTAGCAGCAAAGTTAAAGGAGGGAAATGAAGTTCATCCAGAGTTTAAACTGTTAAGTCAGGTTAAACACTCAAGCTGCAAAAATAAAAGGAGAGACCTATCTATCCTTAGCAGACGTTAAGTTAAACTCTGTGGTTTGCTGCTCTTTCTTTCCCTCCTCACATCCACGCCTTCCCTCACCAAGCTTAGAGCCAGAGTAAGACACGGGTATTTAAAGCAACACAATTTACACTTTCCCTAGCCAGAAACAAGGTGAGAGAACGCAAGGGGAGAAGGCTGACTGGGATATCAAGTCAATGGAATGAGGGAGGGAGGAAGGAGGACACAGAGAGAAAGATGGATGGATAAGAGCATGCAGGGTGGGTGATAAAACGAGGTGGGAAACTGTGCGCGTGTGTGAAAAAAAATGAGAGGGAGGGGAAAGAAGGAGCTAGTGAGACAACAGAGGAAGTGAGAAGCGCTCGAGAGATCTCCAGTGACAAAAAAAGAAAAACAGAGAGAGAGAGGGAACAACCTGAAAGAATAATTCCACATTTTTTTAAACATATGGTTTATTTGTTTTCTGTCAGAGAGTTAGATGAGAAGATCGCTATCAATCTCATGTGTGTGCATTACATATAGAGCTGCACTGCAAACTTGTTCAGTTTATCCAAAGAGAGACAATATACCAACTAAAACCTCTCTTCTGTTACAGTTAGCTGCATTTCATATCACATTTAATTACGTTTTGGGCGGTTTATTGTGAAAATGTATTCATGCGCACTGAGTTTGGATATCATTTTCAGCTTGTGGTTAACTTCAAAAATTCAAAGTCAATCTGTGAAGATGTCTAGACAGAAGGTACTTATTCAGTCAAACACAAATTGTTCACACAGTGCTGAAGAAGAGTGTTGCCATAATGTTTTGAATGTTGACAATGAACCGTACTCCCCAGGCTTTACGTTAGAATGAAATTAAGCAAACGTGTTTTTTCTTTGCCTTTACAAACTTCTGCAAACAAGCAGCTTTAATGATAAAATACAATACTGTGAGGCTTAAGTTCATCCTGTATGGCCCAATGTTAGCCTGGTATCTATGTATTTAAGCTAAACTACATAAATATGTATGAATAAGAACAGGTGAAACTAGTTTAACCAGGTCCTGACTTCAGCTCGGTACCACACACAGACTCACACACACACACACACTGGATTAATTTTAGTCACCTTATTTCACTCTCTGGAAGTGTGTTTCCCAAAAAGTTTGAACTACTGCCTTAATAAGAAAAAAAGTTCCCTCTTTATTCCTCCAATTTCTCTCCTTACAAAGAACAGACAGTGAAAAATTCAAACCACCTTGCACATCTCCATGTTCACCCTCTTTTTCCTTCTTACTCCATCTGTCTCCCTCTAGCTTCTCCCCCCTCCTTCTCTCCATCTGCCCTGATGTCCTCCCTGCTTTCCTATCGTGCCCCCTCACCTCCTCGCCCTTCTGTCAAGCCTCCTTCCCCTCCTCCTCTATTACTGATCAACTCGCTTAATTCTCCCCATCCTTAATTCCTTGTTTTCCTCAGTTTTTTGGTCCCCCAGGGTGGATTTACGATGTTGTTGCTAATTAACTCAGGTTAATAAACTTTATTTACTGTTAAACAACTGTGTGCGGGTGTGTGCGTATGCGTGTGAGAGTACCTTCACATGTAGGTCTGGTCTAAGTGCGCATTTGTGTTTATGTGATAAGATTTTTATCCTCATATTTGCGCACGTGTGGTTTATATTTGTAAGCAGAGCGTATTTGTTGCTTTGCAGGGAGGTAATTATCTGACT